ACGCGGCAGTGGTTTTTGGCCTTTATTGTGTATAATGTACTTCAAGCGTTTTGAGCCAAGTTGTCGGCGGCATAATAAATTCATGTTTGCGACAGTTTACTGTGACATAGCGAGTGTGAGATATCGGAAACAATTTTTTTATTCCAGGACCAAAAGGTTGTGCCGCGAAATTCCTTCGCGCGTTAATCACACTGAAAACAGGAATTTTGCAAGGTAGATTTGTGCGAGGGTTTGTATTCTATACTTTTAGAGATTTTTTCAACTATTTATATTATTTCGTGGTAAACCAATTTCGAGTCCAAAATGGTGCGTTCCCTCAAAAAGTACCCCTTTAATCTACTGATCCGAACTGATATACGCATGCGCATATATCGAGATGGCTATCGATAATGTGCAAGTAGACTTCGCTCGTACCCCCCACCCTGCAAACAGGGCGCTGGGAAGGGCAGATGAGCTTCACAGAATCTTGTGAAGGAAGTGGGGATGGCATTCTGGGTCATATATCATGACCTATGTTTAAAGCATGTGGCTGCAGCTGTAGACTGCGGTTAGCCAATTCGCGCAAATACTATCCGGAAAGTTTGCCATAGTAGAAATGCATACACACCATACCGGATGTGATTTCTTTTTCATTGCTGACCATGTGGACAAATATGAGCGTCGAATGATATGCATTTCGACCGGATGAATTCGAAACGGAGCCTAGCTGAGCAACTAACGGGAGTTGAGAATTTACACAACAGATTTTCCTACATTAGGCTTATTAGGGGGCCGCATTTATTAATTGGAATAAAAGAGTGATGAATGACTCATAATATACAGTCTTAACGGCCGTTTCAAACCTTGCAGGGTGATGGTCGTGATGATGTTCTGGTCACAGGTCACGCACAATCTATCCAATCAGAGCGTTAATTCGTCAGCCCTTCCTAGCGTTCTGTTTGCAGGGCGGGGGGTACGAGCGAACAAGTAACAGTCGCTGGATTTATGCGCGCGCACGCAGAACCCAACCAAGCAAAGAGGGAAGAAGCACCCTAGTATTGGATCATTTGCATGTGCAAGATTTTTGAACACGTATGCAAATGAGGAATAGTCTGACTGGTGCCTGCCTGTGCGTTACATTAGCGTTTGTTTTTGTATGCGGTATCTGGGGTAAAAACAGAACCAATTCGCGCCGTGAGTTACGAAAACACGATTGTTTTCGAAGTTAAAATGTTACAATCTTATCCCGCCAATTATGCAGTATCACATTTCATATTAATATGAGTAAATTGGAAAGGAAAGGAGTATTTTTGAGAAGGCTTGGACGTTTTTAATTACAATGATTGTGACTGCACGTTGAAAATAACAACACCAAGTATACCAGGCGCGGATCCAGGGGTGGGCCGCGGGGGCACGTGCCCCCGTCAAATTGAGTCCACAAAAAAATAAAATTAATAAAACAGGGGGAAAAGAGGGTGAGGTGAGAGAAATGGAGGGAAGGAGGAGGGCAACCTTCTAACAAAAATACCGGCCTGCAAACATTGTGTGGCCGTATGACACAGGGAACTCGAGAAGCTTCGAATTAAACCGCGATCCCACCGTACGTACTCCATACTTAACCCTGCATAGTATATCGGTTTATGAAATGCGATTCTGAGCGTATGTACCCGTACGAAAAACACGCACGTGCACTTGTGACGGCCGTTATAGTGTGCTCTTTGGACCACACTATTGGTCATGGGGGCCAGCATTTCTTCCACGCGCTTTCAAGGATCGAGTCCAAAACATGTCCGCTTCCGTATAAAATTTCCGTAGAAAATCTTATCTTGTTGATAAACTGAAAATTTAAACTTTATACAAAACATTAGAAAGCATCCTTGCAAAAGTTTACAAACTAAGTCTATACAATTCCGTTTCAAAAATAAAATGCACGAAAACATGCAGACGAAAGTGAAAAACGAAGAAACTTAAAACGCTTGTTAAAGCAAGAGTATATATTAAACCAATCAAAAAAATGCTTATTTAACTTAAAACAATTTGCTCAATTAACTCCGGGAAAGAGGGGCCAGGAATCGCCTCAGATTGCACCACAGAGCATCTAATTATCAAAAATTTCCCGGGGCCCTAAAGCGGGCCCCGCACCCCACGCCGAAATACATTCACGCTCCGCATTATTAGTCCTCGGGGCAGATCTTCCTACAAACTAAGCCTATCCAATTCTTTTTCCAAAATAAATTGCAAGAAATTGATAATGCCGTCGAAAATACCTGGTTATCAAGTAAAGAACAGAAGAAATACAAGAGTACAATTTTAAACCAATGAACAAAAAATAAAGAAACACATGGTGTTACCGCAAACCGAAGCGATATAGAAAAAAAAAAACCCAACAATCTTTACAACATTTTACTGAAAAGGGGCCAGAAATCGCTTTAGATTGCACCACAGAGCATCTATAGAATCAAAAATTTCCCGGGGCCCTTGAGTAGGCCCGCGCCCCGAACCCCACGCCTTAAAACTTGTAAAAACATTAATGTATATTTTAAAAAAAATCCTCATAAGCTTTACAACTTTTGCTCAAATAATTCGGGGGAAACAAGGAGTCGCCTCAGATTGCACCACAGAGCATCTAGAATCCAAAATTTCCCGGGGCCCTTAAGCGGGCCCCGGACCCCACGCCGTAAGGGCTTCGCGCTACGCGCTCGCATTATACATTAGTCCTCGCAGCAAATGCTCTAAAGGTGTGCCCCCCGTCTAAAGAAATCCTGGATCCGCGCCTGTATACGGTGTAAATCCATTACTAACCGATTGCTGCGCAGCATCGAATCAGGATGCAGGAAGTAAGTTTGCTATCCAGGGCTTACTATTGAAAACGCGGTTGGAAATAAAGTAGGCATTGGGGACGAGGTTGGGGAAGAAGCAGTTAAGCAGCGCGTTTGTCATGCACGGAGAAACAAATAGTTTTTTTTTTTCCTTTTTCTTGTTTTAAGTAACAAGGTGGAAGGTTGTACACCAGAGTCTACAAATTAAAATATAACCGGAAATGAACAGGGGGACAAAATAAAGAATACATCATGATAGCGGAATAGCTGTGGAATTTACGGAAGAATGGAGACAACCGGAGAAATGAGGGGAAAATGTATGTGGATATTACTCGCCGAGGCAAACATTTTGTCAAAACGAGTTAATATCTACTCGCGGCGACTCTTAGTAAAACTCACGACGCGGTGAGATATATTTTATTTGTGTCGGGGCCCCTACATTTTAGCCCGAACAAGCAATGAAGTAGGTATTTCCATTTTCCGTTTGTCCAGACGTGTCCTTAACTCGATTGCCAGAACTTTTTGGCATATTTTGTTACTTTCACAATTGTGGATATATAACACAAGGGCGTAAATTCCAGGATATATAGGTAGGGGTATAACCCCCCCCCCCCCCATTTTGTTTTTACCAGGAGTGGGCAATTGGATCCCCCCCCCCATATTTGTGGTGAAGATTAAAACAAAACAAAATCGTTATGCCCATTAAATTAAAAGTAAAATGAACTAGTAAAAAAGTAGGTTATTGTGGTAAAGCGCTTATAAAACAGCATCACTCAATGTGTCATCGCAGATCTGTCTTCTGCTGTTTGTGTCGATGGTGTTTCGGTGTCAAGCCCCCCCCCCCCCCATTGGTTTTCAATTTGCCGTGTTTGGGAAAGTTTCAGGATTCTCGATCCATTATGGATTTGCCAATGAAATTTGACCTCTGGTGGCGCGCTTCCGGACCCCTCGAATAGCAAAATTCGTGTAAAAGTCGGAGTCTTTAAAATTATTTTTGGAATCGCCACGAAATTATTTCATAATTGTTCACCTACGTACGAGTATACACCGAGTTACACTTGTCCGCATGCATGTACATTTTTGGAAGTCAGAGGTCAGTTATTGCCACGATATTCTCTTCCACGTCATCAGGTGGTTTATCAATTTCCATAAATTGAAATTCTAGTATAACAATTTTACACACGCCTGTTTCCGGGGTGATTTTCTTCAGAAATCAATGTACCAAAAATAATCGCAAATCCTATAAATGTTCACTTTACATATCCTATTCAAGGTTCCGGAATTGGGGAGGTGCGCCACCAGGGGGTGAACTTTCATGCAGCTATTACCAGAAATTAAGCAGCCAAAAATTGTATGGTGTAGGCCTTGGCCTAGTTGTGTATGCAAAAAAAAGAGGGTTCTTGCCGACTCTGAGGAACAACAATACAATAAATAAGCAGGTTATTATAACCTGTCAAATTTCAGTTCAGTAGATTATGCCTAGTTCTCAAGAAAAATGTGCGAAGCATCTTCGTTTGTTTCTCGACGCGAAGCAGACGTTTACCAAGGGCGGATCCAGGGGGGGGGGCCAAAGGGGGCCATGGCCCCCCCCAAAAACGAAACCAATTTTTTTTTTTTTTTAATGTGACATCGCAATAAAGGCAGGCAATGAGTACACCACCATCTTTTTCTCAAAATAAATTGGTTAAAGTGGTCAGAAATTGCCTCAGATCGCACCACAGAGCATCTAGAATCCAAAAATTTTTCGGGGCCCTTAAGCGGGCCCCGAACCCCACGCCATAATTTTTTAGACCCACTTTTTTGGGGGACCAAATTTTTTTTTGGCCCCCCAAAAAATTGTGTTCTGGATCCGCCCTTGACGTTTACGCGGTGGTTCTTTCCCATCGGTATCAACCGCGAGGAATGATGCTCGATTTCACATGGCAGGACGATGCATGGTCCTATTATTTACTTACAATCAAGTACGATATTTCATGATATTTTGGAATGTTTGCAAAAGGTGTACATTAGCTTTAACGATGTTTCCAACTGTCATTGGGTTCTCTTTCGTGGTAAACGCGATGTCCGTTTCACTCTCGAAGGCTAGTCTCCTTGAAATGCGCGCGCCAGGGCCTACTAAAAAGGCCGTTCACGAATTCCAACCATTTGAGAATGGGACTTGTCCTCGGCCCCTGAGCTGACCTGGCGCGGCTACTAGGCCACAGACAGTGTGTTGCAACTGAATCTAATCGGTACCATCAGTGACTTGCAACTTTTCTTTTTTGGTGTTATCTACACATCAAACAAACTGTTGAATATTTCGATGGGACCAAACAACCTCAGACATCAACTCGACTCTGGACGTAAATAAAGTATCGATTCTTACATAAAAATTACAATGGAATCAAACACAATCTTAAAATCTTTCTAATTCTACGGGGTTATTTATTAATGTAGCCTATCTAAGAGAAGTTTTGTGCAATATAAAGCTCTACCGAAAGGTGAAAAAGTCATGTAGGCCTTGACCTATTTCTTCTGTCGTTTCTGTGTTGTTCAACTTTGATTCGATACTTAGCCATTCCGAATCTGGTGATTGGGGGAAATAGTTTCGCCTGGAATCGATATTTCCTCATTCAGCTTCATCATGGCGTCCAGATTGCGCGTACTTACAAATGTTCTCGGCTTCCTGCACCCAAGTAACGCCTCTACCTCCGTGGCAGGCAGGCAGGTGTCCAGTGCAGCTCCCCATATCACCAAGGCAGACGACTGGTGGGGGAAATGCAGTCGGGTCAAGATTCTAGATGGGGAGATGAGCTACTACGACTCGGATCCCAGCCAGAAATCCGGCGATGCTGTGGTGTTCCTGCATGGCAACCCAACATCATCTTTCCTGTGGCGTAACGTGATCCCTCACGTTGAGGGCTCACGCAGGTGCCTTGCCCCCGATCTGATCGGCATGGGGCGGTCCAGCAAGCTTCCCATTTCCTACAAGTACAAGGAGCATTACAAGTACCTGTCGGCTTGGTTTGATGCCGTCAGTCTGCCACACAAGGTCTCCATTGTGTGCCACGATTGGGGTTCCGGCTTGGGCTTCCACTGGTGCCACATGCATCCAGACCGAGTCAAGTCCATCATTCACATGGAGAGCATTGTAGCCACGGTTCCGGATTGGAGCGTTTTCCCGGATATTGCTAGGCAGATGTTCCAGGGTCTGCGCTCCGATGCTGGGGAGGGCATGGTCTTGGAGAACAACCTCTTTGTGGAGCTGCTGTTTCCACGAGCCATCATCCGGGAACTGAGCAGCGATGAGATGGAGGCGTATCGCGAGCCGTTCCGCAACCCAGGCGAAGACCGACGCCCGACGCTGACCTGGCCACGTGAAATCCCTTTTGAAACCGAGGGACCGCAAGATGTGGTTGCCATAGTCAATGCTTACCGTGATTGGCTGTCTAAGTCAGCTGACATCCCGAAGCTTTTCATCGACGCAGACCCAGGATTCTTCTCTCCAGCAATCCGCATTGGATGTGCTGATTGGCCTAATATGAAGACGACCAAGGTCAAGGGTTACCACTTCTTGCAGGAGGATTCAGCTGATGACATCGGCAAAGCCATTCATAAATTCCTGTCTGAACTGTAATTAATCAAAGTGAATTGGTACAGTTTTATTTGAAAAACAACTCTGGGTATTTCAAAAATTGTTTTGGAATGTATAGTGGGTTTCCGAAAGTAATGACTTTTTGTTGGCAGAAAATCCTAGAATTTTTGTTTTAAACCTTGAGAAATTTGTGAAAAAAGGTGATAAAAAAATAAAAATGAAAATAAATAAACTCGAAAATTTGAGGGACTTAATCAACTTTATTAGTTATAGCACCTGAAGTCCCCACCCCATCCTCCAAAACCACAGTTCTTGCAAAAATTTGGGGGCGGGGGGGGGGGGGGAATAAATGTACATTGTTAATAGAATAGTTTAAGATGCAGCTGTTTTAATTGTTCATGCAATCAGTTGATTCGGAAATTATATGCCTTGTCAGTGAAAATGGACTGCAGAGCAGACTAGCATATACTGGTAAAATTCCCACTATACTTGATTGTGGGGAAAGCATGTTGCAACCAGACGCTGCTCTTTTCTTCATATATCATCTCAATGAAGATCAATCATTGCGAAAATGACGATGAGACATGAATCTGGGACTGAAAAACATTTTCAATTATGTTAGGAAATACATGTACAATTTTAGAAAATTTTCTTGACTCTCCATAGACTTTTGTACACAACTGCTGAGGTAGCGTCAGGTTGCAACATTCTTTCCAATTGGGAGACTGTATTGCCATAAAGCAATGTAGTGTATGTCAGAAATTTGCATTGATTTTCTGTGAAGTTGATCATGTTAAAAATAAAATCCTGCTGACATTGCTGACAACTGAATATATAGCAATGCATGTGTAATATTTGCCAACTGGAGAAATGACTTTTTGGTCAGTGTGGTTTATAGCCATTACTTTTGACCAGTTTTAATAAAATAAGTTTCTGTTTTGCATTTGTTTTCAGCACTGTCTATATGAATATGAATAAAATTATTACATTTCAATAATACATGATAAAAATTATGTAAATACTAAAAGTTTGAGTTATTTTTTTTTACTGAAATGTCCAACCTTGTTCAACAATGTTGGAACTTAAATAATTTTTAACTGGACTATAGAAGTCAATAATAATGTTCAACTTGTGACATGACCATTTTCTTTGTAGGATTGTAAAAATGCAGGAGAATTTTTTTTCCAGTATTACAATGAAATGTTGATGTTTTTGCTTTAGTCTGTTTTCAAGCGCATGTTCATTCAGTGTCTAAAGAGGCCGTTTATTTGATCGGAATTAATTGGATGCCTTGGAAAATGAGATTTTTGTATTTAACTGAAGTTGAATTAAAATTATGTTCAATCTTGAAAGTTTTGAAGATTCGTTGTTGATATTGTGTTGAAGTGATACATGTATTTCAAGTGTACTTATTTAATTAATTAAGAGGTTTGGGCTAAAGAATTTGGATTAAGAATCTGTGTGGTGAATTAATTGCATTTCCCACACTTTACTGCAGATGAAATTGAATTTGGGAAAATGAATTTTGATATGAATAATTATAAACAAATTAACAAAATATATGCACTTATTGATAGGAGAGGTAATGTACGCTATTGGGTACAATTGGCTGTTCTACATGTATTTCATAATGTTAAATATCATTTAGGCATTTGAATTATTCTTGAAACATTTGTAAAGATGCATTCCCCCGTGCTATTTTTGGGTTTCATCAGGATTATAGATCTGTTTTTTTCAATTGCTGTTGATCTAGAAATATAAAAGGTATTCATTTTAGAAAGAGACATCGAAAAAAAAAAGAAAAAAAAAATCCACCATGTTTAGTTCAGTCGAGTCTCGTTAATACAAACTCGTTTGGACCTAGCAAAATTGTTTGTTATATCAGAATTTTGTATTAAGAGGAACATCAGTCCCATTCATTGTGCACATAAATGCACAGTTGGGACCAATGCCTTATGTTTGTTATAACCAGAATTTTGTATTAACAGAGTTTGTACTAACGAGAGTTGACTGTATTCACAAACATCAAACTATTCGCTGCCGGACTAAATTGTAGTGAGCAAAATGAAATTCCTTTTTCAGAGGGTTGCAGACGCCAAAAATTGGAATAATTTTTTTTTCGTTTAATTTTCCGTTAAAACTAGAGGATCTAGAGGTTTTTTTTGGGGGGGGGGGGAGTGCCGACTAATTTATGATCTTAAAATGGGGCCAAAAATAATAAATGGATGCCAAAGTTCCTAAAATGTATTCTGGAATTGCATTGATTGCCGGAAAAAGCATCGTAGATTTCATAATTTCCGGGGGACATGCCCCCATAGTCCCATACCCCTCAAAGCAGGTTGTGCCTTCAGCAAGCCTTCACTCAATCCCCCTCCCCCTCATCTCATCTCCCCCCCCCCCCCCCCATCTCTGGGTTACATATGCCCCTGTAGGCTACTGTACTGATGAAGTCACACATTTGTTTACTTGTGCGCTTTTTTATGGGGCTACAAGTCTGTCGTCCCCACCAGGTTCCCATAAGAAAGCAATGTAAACAAAGTGTGACATAATCAGAACTAACAGCTTATTTGTAATTTGACCAGTAGCAAGTGGAAGTCAACCTCGTTCTCATGGTGTCGAGCAGTGCACTCCCATCACTTGCTATTGAAAAACGAGGTTGAAAAATAAAGCAAGCCCTGGGGCCGAGAGGTTGAGTGGAAAAAAATTTACCGGAATGGAGGGACCGGGAGCAAGTCTAACTTGAGAAATTAGCAGAACTTAACTGTTGGTGGCGCTACAACGAGAAATTTCGTCAGCCACACACGTACGTACGTACGTACACAAACAGGATTCGATTACGCATTGAACAAGTACACGTGTTGTTTACAATTCAAATAAGGTAAACGTGACGTGTCCAAACCACGGATCGTGATTTAAAAGACAGTGGGGCCTAAAAATTAATCACTCTGTAAAAGTGTATAAGCAGTCTACGATCGGAAGGAGAACAAGACCACTTTATACCAAAATTTCGCTTCGATCAGTCGATACTAAAGTCACCATCGAAAAATAAGATAAGACTAAGACGTAGGCTAGGTAAAAAGTGAAAGTGAGTGAAGTGAATGAGCATTGAGTGTAAACAATTCCGGATACGGACGCCTATTTTTTTTCAATAAATTTTCAAGCGCCAAAAAGTAAGTAACATCCTTTATACAGTCAATTGACCGGTTCCGCAATTTGACCAGTTCCGCAATTTCGGAAAACTAGCTCTCGTTTTCAGGAAGACGAAAACACCAAGGACTTAAACTTTGGTATCGATGGAAAGGTTATTCAATCTACTTTTCAAAAATGGTTTTAGTTTTAGGATACTCACTTACATTTAAAAATAAATCCCCTACGACCGTCACTTGCCGTTAACGAACTGCCGAAATGGAACGCGCACGGAAGCGTGATTTCATGTTTGTCGGCCTGCTACACGATTGTTCAGGGGAATTAAATCATGGCGATTGATGCAACTTGTTCGGAAATTATTCATTATTCCACCATACAAATATAAGATTTGAAGTCTTTGAATTTTTTTTTCTATACCCACCAGAGTAACTGCTGGTCGTTTGGCCGGTTCCGCAAACGCATTCATACTGCCTATACAATACACTGGCCATGGTGTGACTGTATTAACCAGTGCTGATGACGGCCCCCTAGCGCGGTGCACTTTATTTATTTTGGCATGAATCTTTTTTTTTTTTTACAACTTACAAAGAAATTGAGAATTTCTATTAATCCTTGTTTAAAAATGTCGAATGTGATGATCATTTCTGGGTGTTCAGTGCAAAAAATTGAAAACTAAATTGAAACAAAATGATTTTGTTTCTGTCCAGCTTCCGGACAGCACGTTTTGGATACAAAAAATTTGGACTTCAAAATTTAAAATACAAAAATCTTTCTTAATACTTCCCACTAAACGTTTTTACTTTGCTCTAAAAAAATTCACCCCATACTTGATGTTGAAGCGGTTGTGCCTAAGGGGTTTGAATCCATTTTAGAGTTACAACTCTCCACATCCAGGGTGCATGAGTTAGCCCAGGCTAGGAGGTGAGGTTTGTGGGGACCAATTAAGAATAGTGCATAATAATATGTTTCTAACCCAAAGGACATTTCCAGTAATATAGTAAATTCAAAATTATCCTTTTTTCGGTGGGTTCTAACCTGACTCTTTACCCTTTTAAACAAAAAGAAAAATAGGTCCACTAATATTTCATAATGAAGACCAGTCTCTCGTCAGTACAGAGACACAAATTTTGAATGTTTTCTTGGAGCACAAAATTTGTCAAATACTATAAACCATTTCTCATTTTTGTCTCAATTGGTCATAAACTAAACGTTTTATATAAAATTTCTTTTTCATACAGACAATGCCAAAGACAAAGAAGAACATATCAATTTGTTTATGGCCAAAACCGCTCCTTTTTATTTTACCTGATTTAACCCGATTTTGCGCATAGCACGATTGTAACAAAATGTAATACAAATGCGCGTACGCGCAACGTGTACTGTGTGTGTGTACGTGAGCGGCCGGCCGGCGTGACAAGATTTGAGCGTAGTGTACGCACGTACAACGCAATGCCCACGACGTATTTGAGCAGGGTTATGATTGGCGATCGTCTTCTTCAATCCTCAATGTACGGGCCTTAACAATGTCCAATCAAAATACATGTTAGATAATTAGTTAGACCAGAACTTTCCCTAACAACACTTTTTTTAACAATGCCGTACGGTGGCGCTGTTTGTGTTTACGGCGAGTTGAAGCGGTGCGGGTTTACTGAAAACCTCGATTTACACACAGAATCGTGTTAAATTCTGCTAAAACAACAATATATATCCTGAAAAGTACGGGCTTTGTTTTTAATATAAATTCAATATTTTATATCAGTATGATGTAGAATAAAATTGTCTGTCTTATATTCTTTTAACAAGTCAAAGCGGTGCTCCGTTTTCCAATGGTGTACAAAAAAAAACAATCAAGGCGCCGTTTTTGATGGCAATTCCCATAGCGGAAAAATCAGTTCCTGTGTGGACGCTTGAAAAGGAGCGCTCACGAATTGATATGGATTACGCCAGCCTCCTGATAGGCCATAAGAGGCCATCAGCACATCTTTTTCAGTTTTACCTGTGAAGGTCAAGAAGAAGTTGAATATTATAGTGAAAGTACATGTAGCTGTGTGTCTTCATCACCATTTCTTTGAATTAATTTATTTATGTGACAAGTTTTTTTTGTATAGTGCTAGCTTCTGGAGTGCTTAAATTATTTGTGTATAACAATTAAACAGACATGCAGGTGTCATAAAGGCAATAAATTTAAAGGCGTTACATACATTTTTATTAACCAGTACATGTGAAAGAGAAGTGAGGTGTTTGAAAAACAATGCTACTTTGCATGAAAAACTCACAGAACATGTCTATTTCTGTGATTCATCACCATTTATTTATATGACACGTATATTTTTGGATTTAAAAGGGGTAGCTTCTTGAGTGCTTTAGTTTTGTATTACATTTACACATGCAGGTATCACATGTCAATATATTGAAAGGGTTATTGGGATATTCGTGATGAATGTGTTGACATTTTCTTTTAAGAGCATCACCGAACAGTAGATGAGGTTTGCTAATACAGTTGCCCAAGCATGATACATGTACATAGTTAATATGTGCAACAACGTATGAGGAGTAACTGAACATTATAATTAGAAATTGCCATTGCTATGAAACAGCCATAGGATTTATGACATTTTTAACAACTTGTTTTAATTTGTTTGTGAAATTTAATTTGAATGTGAAACAATATGTATGTGGCCTGTATGTATCTGGCCTGCTGAGGCCTGTTCCCCCTCCCCTCTCGGCCCCCAGGTTCCCCCTACTGGATGTTGGTGCACACAAAATTAAGCATATTGTGTTGTAATTACCCTGAACAAATTGAAACACTCCCCCCCCCCCCCAAAAAAAAAAGTAAAATGAAAAAAAAGGAGGAGGGAATAAACAAAAGTAAATAAATAATAATAATTAAATAAATATTAATAAACAGTGCTCCCCTGCAGACAATGATTCAGTTCCAATTCATCCAGCCATGCAGTAACTTCCTTAAGTGTCATAGGAATTAAAAATGATCCTGGAGAAAATATTAATTCAAATTCATGAATAGCTTGTCTGTGCTTATGTGAGAAAAAAACAACCAACTGGAGCAATTCGGTACAAGGTTTGTGTCTGGTTCTATCCAACGTCAGAGTGTGTCTAAATAAAAATAAGACAACAAAAAAGCAAAATATTAGTGATTGCAAGATGATAGACAGAATGCACAAATAGCAAGAAAGTCATTTAATTGGATTGAAGCAAGTCAAATAATTATAACGTAAAAAAAATCCAACGAACCATAACATTTTCATGGAGTTACATTTTGTAAATTTGGACGCATTATAATGTGCAGACCTTGGCTCATGCACAGGGAAATATAATCCATATCTTTTCTTGGCTGGTTTGGGGGCAAAAACGATCTAGATTTGGCCAGTAAACAAGGAATATTTTCAGTCCAGTCTCGCAGAGGGCGCCGTTTGCGAAACCGGAAAACATTTGCGGAACCGGTCAAAGCACCGACCTCTACAAAATGTCCTGGCAAATTTCTCTTTCAAACGATCACAGAAAACTATTCATATCATGAAGTAGGTGAGTAATTTGCGCATATTTATAGATAGGTAGCTTCCTGTGAAAGCGCGTTTTTTCGCCACAAGAAGCTTCAGACGATTTGCGATTGCGGAACCGGTCAAACGACTGTACTTTCGAAGTGGCTATCGTTACGGCAGCCGTTGTTTAGCGCCCTCTACGATACATGTGTACTTTATTGATACGCACGCAGGTATATAATTATTTGTTTCCCCACATTTTAGCGAGCAGTGCGACAGCCGACAGCTCAGTCGATAGAGGGTAGTCCGAGTAACTTGGACCCAACTTATCGCCTTTTTAAAAATTTGGACATGGTCTGGCGATAGTAGGGTCCAAGCCCATTCCGAGACCTAGACAACATAGTCACTGACAGTCCCAAAAACCAACATTTTCCAACAAAAAACATCAGATTTCACCTTCAAAACGGCCTCCAAATTACTAGATATGCCACCTGAGGTACAAGTAGACATCGATAATTAAGATGGTTGTACTGAAGCTTACTTACGATCCGGAAAAAAAGTGAAATTTTCCGTTCATTTCGGAGAGCTCCCCTTGCGATCTTGGACACGTTAAATTTGCGATCGTGTTTAAAGTTTGAACGACGCGATTTCTTCTACATGCCCAGCGTACATTCGATGGTCCCCGTATCCCGAGTGCGATTCCGTTACCGAGCGCGCGCGATGCATCGATTATGATAATGAGTAGACTGGATCACGTTTGTAAACACATGTGCATTTCAAACGATAATAGGGAGTCGGGAACTAGCGCAGCTTTTATAGCGGGTACCAGTTCAAGCTGGTTCCGGATTCCCTTTTACAGTTCGAAATGCACATGTATGTGTTTACAAACGTGACTCATTATCATAATCGATGCATCGCGCGCGCTCGGTAACGGAATCGCATACGGGATACGGGGACCATCGAATGTACGCTGGGCATGTAGAAGAAATCGCGTCGTTCAAACTTTAAACACGATCGCAAATTTAACGTTTTCAAGATCGCGAGGGGAGCTCTCCGAAATGAACGGAAAATTTCACTTTTTTTCCGGATCGTAAGTAAACTTCAGTACAACTATCTTAATTATCGATGTCTACTTGTACCTCAGGTGGCATATCTAGTAATTTGGAGGCCGTTTTGAAGGTGAAATCTGATGTTTTTTGTTGGAAAATGTTGGTTTTTGGGACTGTCAGTGACTGTGTTGTCTAGGTCTCGGAATGGGCTTGGACCCTACTATCGCCAGACCATGTCCAAATTTTTAAAAAGGCGATAAGTTGGGTCCAAGTTACTCGGACTAGATAGAGGGTAGGATTTTGCACCGCGAGGTTGCGGGTTCGCATCTCAGTTTTGCACTCGAATTTTTTTCCTTTTCTAACCTGAGGCTTTGGAGGATTTTTTTTAAAAGGGAAAGTCCGAATTTCATAACGTTCAAATTCACTTTTTTCCTTCTAATTTTATATTTTCTTATGTTTTTATAAAAGTTGCAGTAGGCCTACTACCGTAGCCAAAGAAAATGGGAAATGCGTTACGGCTGCCGTAACGATAGTCACTGCGTTATACTTTATTTCATGCCCTCCTCAGACCTGCCTTATATTAAAGTTATAACTATTACCACTCGTCCACACGATCTCTTGTTGGCGATGAGGACTAGCTTGAGTAACTCCAGCTTAACAAGCTCATCATTGTGAATTCCTGATGAGCTTGTTAAGCTGGAGTTACTCAAGCTAGTTGAGGACCTAGTACTTGACATGTTTGATGTATTTAATTAGGTCTCCATTCAAGTAAGACTTAAATTAAATATTCATGAAGCTACCTTTTTCCCGAATTTTTTTCAGTTTTGTGGAGCCTCCTGGATTTGTCTTCAATGAAATCACAAGGTGAGGTGAAAATTGATGTGTTTGGCCGCAGATAAATGGCGTCCGTATCCGGAACTCTTCCCTAATTGATGATTGCACTTTTCCCAAGCTAAATAATATTATAATATGGATTTGTCTTCAATTATAACACAAGTTGGGGTGAAGTTGATCTCTTTGGCAGCGATTGTGTGATGCCACACATACCCTAAAGACCATGTTAAAACATTTGCTAACTGGAAAGTGTCTGATTTCTCACTTTTGAAAATCGCACTGGTGTCACTGATGAGAACATCATTAAATTTAATTAATTTGATCAACAAGAATTTGCCATTACTACAAAAACAACGATGACATTATTTTAGTGTTAACTTACTTTTAAAAAGTACAAAATAAATTTGATAGTGGATATATTGCCGGCGGCAATCCCTATCATAAGAGGGTGCTGTACTCTCTAAGATAGGCCTGAATTACATGTATAAGATATATTTAACCAATGGTTGTGCAGCACCTGTGGCCTAGTGGATAAGCAACGGATCTCATGAGCAGGAAGATCCGGGTTCGATCCCTGCTGGCAAAATTTTTAAGGTTTTTTTCCCCCATCCCCCCAAAATGGGAAAATTCATTTTTTATTACTTTAACATGTCTCAAACATTTTATTGCAGAGTATTACATTTTCTTTTTCAGATTTGTGGCTCTGGAGGATTTTTTTTTAAAAGGAAATAAATTCTGAAATTGTAAAATGGTCTGATTCCCATCTTGTGAATATGAAGTACAACGATAATGTTGGCATGGAGCCAGACTAAAATTTGTCACCGGAAAATGTCTAAGTACAAAAAAAACAGTAACTGCACATGTTCAGTGCATATCCAGCAAGCTAACGTTTACTAAACATGCTAAAGGTTTGCCGTCTCCGGCTTAATATCCACTGCCAATAAATTTCCTGGTGGATTTGTTCTCAGACTGAAGGCCTTTTTTTATCAAGCTCCGATGAGCGATTGAAATCTTAATTACTTAAATGATATTAGGTCTTCATGTAGCTTGGAATACTGTAGTCTCATGACACGGCAGATTCACCGGTAGAGCTGGGATGAGGTCTGTGGTTACCAGCGACACTTATGCACACAACGGCTGTTTGATGCACTGTGAGCAGTCCATGCAATCTCCGTCGCCTTCTCGCAGACTGCTCACAGTGCATCATCAAACAGCCCTCATGCTGCGAGCCGGATTCCCGAAACCAATAGGCCTACACCATGTACAAAAAAGGTAGGCCTACGCATTTAGTGTTGCTGGTAAATACAAACCTTCATTAGCTTCTAATTGCTCAAATCTGTGTCATACAGGAACAGCATCAATAACAATGACGACAATCAGCAATATCCGTGTCTTCCACACTGTGGCCTTCGCCCTCTTCCTCATCTCCTGCTACTTCTGCGTCCACGGAGACAACGTTCGAGACAAGCAGAAGACGGCGGTGGTTGCCGTGCCAACACATGATGCGGTCGAAACAGATGACAACAGCATGGATGCTACTGTTGAAGAGGAAATGGATCCAGAGGATTTGGATGTCTTTTTGCCTACTGACCAATGGCAGCCAATCAAAGAAGGTTTGAAAATTATTATTATTTTTTCAAGGTGACATGACTTGCCAAACGTCTACATCTAGGCAATTGTGACTGCACCCCACGAAATGAGCTTTATTTATACAGGGTGGATATAAAAAAACTGAGATAGTATTGCTAATTGGAATAGAAGTAGGGCACATGTGAAACAAAAGGAGATATCTTCTGTTAGGGTTGAATCTCCACTTTAAAATGACACTCTGGTCATGTCATTACATTCACGGTTGACTGAGCAGTGATCAATTTTATGAAAGGGTCTATTTAGAGAATTGCGCCACTTTTCAATTGTGGTTTTTGTTGTGTCAATTGTCACGGAATGAAAGGCTATGGTTGCCAATCAAGGCAGGTGGGGAAACAAATGGATTTCACCATGAAAAGTGGCGCAAGTCTCAGTCAACCGTGAATGTAATGACATGATCAGGGTGTCATTTTAAACAGAGGATATCTCCATTTGATGTACATGTGCCCTACTTCTGTTGCAATTAGCAATATCTCTGTTTCATTTTTTTTATCCACCCTGTGTATCACAAAATAGATTTACAAATGAGGTTAAAAGAGCATTCTCATGCTGTTCATTTTATTAAACATGTTGATAAATATGAACATAAATTATTACATGTATGTTGAAAATGTTGACTTTCCATTTTAGTTTCCATTTTATACAAGATTCATAAAAAGGCCTAGTTTAATAGTCTTCAATTATTCACAAGTATCTCTGGTGACTTTTCATTCACTTTGTTGGTTGGGCTAGAAATTGTAATCATTCTTGCTTGAGACCTTAGTTTTTTAATTGTGTACATTGATATTTATTTTACTTGAAGTGTTGGATCTCAAATTTGATAGAAATCCCGGGGAAGTGGCTACATGTAAATTGGCAAATTTCTAAATAAAACATATCGCATGCTCATTCAATTTAAAGGGGTAGGCCTACAGTCCATCATTTGTAATTTGTGCATTTTGTGCGTTTGAAGCAACAAAAGTGCTCAAAATCTAAAGGAGGGTGCTTAACAACTAACCTGATAAAGTTTCAGCTCAGCTTCAGCTGTATATTTCGAGAAAAACAACATTCTAGGATCTCAATTTCAAATCAAACGTTGCTTAATCATGTTTTAAATAGTGCCTGAATTCAGCGTCCGAGACACATTCTCACTGAGCCAATTGCAGCTACGCGATGTCACGCACTGATCCGACAAATTATAGCAACAGCGCGCGTGTGTGCGTCGTGTTAACGCTTGTGCGCGCTTCGTCCGATTAAAAAAAAAAGAACTATGAACGGAAATTTCCAACCGTGCGTCTTTAGAAGCACCGTTGGAAAGGCCTTCTTTCGTTGATTTCTTCAAAATGACAGTTTGCCAGAAAGTATAATTTCACAGGGCGTTTAGTCCCCTTACTATCTTTCAACCAAGTATGTTTCTCAACAATAATTAGGCCTATGTCAGTTACTTTTTGGATAGCTGCAAATGATGGACTGTACTACTGTAGCTTTAAAATTCGCTTCGTATGTGTTTCATATTGTGCTGAAATTCTTGCCAGTTAGTCAGCGGCACATGAAAACTCTAGCTTGAAAGAGAATTTTCACAATCATTTGTTTGTTTTGTTTGCTCATTGGTTCATCAGGACAGGCAATACCAGCTGGCCTGCACGTGCAGATAAGCCTCAAAACCGGGGAAAAGATGGCCAAGTTGATGGACGGCGATGACGGGGAGCGATATCGGAAGAAAGCCAGCCCCCAAAATGATGACATCGACACTGAGAGTAAAGAAGGTGGGGAGGGGACTGATCCACTTTCCCACCAGGAGCTGAAGAAGGCCCTCAAGAAATTCAAAGCAGATCAGGACGATGTCCAAGATCAGGAGAGGGTAAGTTCTGAAACCTTTTCCAGGTCTGCACCATCACAACTTGCAGTCAAAATTAATTCAGTGACTGATTTTAACATTTACGAATTCCCTTGTAAACCGAACTCAACCCATCAAACCTCAAGGACATGTTTTTTTTTCCCCAGAATCTGTCAAGATGGGAACATTACCCCTAAACTGACAGTCTTTTACATTGGGTTGGCACTCCTCCGAATCAAAGTCAGAAATATCTGTGTGCAGTTTCCCATATGGTGTTGGAATTTGCCAGGATGGGTATGGTTCCTAGTAAATCATGCTGGGGAGTTAGGGTGTGTTGGAACCCTACCCATCCTGGCAAATTCCAACACCATATGAAAACCTGAACACACATATTTCTGACTTTGATTCTGGAGGTGTGCCAACCCAATGTAAAAGACTCTCAGATCCCGACAAAACATGTCGTTTGGGTTTGATGGGTTGAGTTCTAACCATGCTTTGACTGGAGGTGATTGATATGCCCCCCACACCCCCTCTATAGTGATGCCCACGTGTACTACATGGGCATTACTACAGGGGCAAGCAGCTACAGTGGATAAGAGGGTGGGGTTTGCATTGCATCTGTGGTCATGACACTTTGCTACTAATTGCCCCTCCCCCCAACCAATCCAAGAATAAAATATTGATGTGTATTTTCCAAAAACTTTTGTTTTGAATTATTCGAACTTGGCTTTGGCACAGCCCTAGTAACTGCGTGGGCAGTGATGGTTATTGCTCATGAATAAGCCATTTGTGACTAAAGAATGGAAACATCAAGCAGTATACCCCCACCCCCCACCCCCAGAGCAAGAGATGGTCTAAGAAAATTTAGATGGGCAAATTGAGCAGTGGTCATAACAATGATTTAATATCTTAAACTTTGTTGAAAGTGTCATTAATATCTTAAACTTTGTTGAAAGTGTCATTACAGGGCGAGTCAAAAGAAAGTGACGAGTTAGAAAATGTAAAAAAATAAGGCATAAGGTACATGTTATTGACTAGTAACTGTGACAATTTTACATAATTTGCATGTATACTCTAATCACAAGTTAGATCTCTATTTTAATAGAAATACCACAATATTCAGCTGTCCACCTCTGATCATTTACCGATATATATACGCGTTGATAATACATGTACTTTTTAAATAAATTGAACCATGGAGGTTTTCCTTCCATAAATGAAGGAGAGGAAAAGTTGCAATTGAAAACATGAGTGGAAGAGTGCGCTTGTTTAATACATGCTTCATTGCTGTATCAAATTTAATTGCTTTTTCAAAGAAAACAATTGTTTATCAGAGTTTTGCTCAATCCCTCAGATTGACCAAATCAGGCAAAAGTTTCGCTCCATGGAGGAACTGAAGAAGGATTTTGAAGAGATGAAGCTGAAAGTGGAGACCGATGTGGAGATCATGAGACGGCTCGTGGAGAAGTTCCAGCGGGAAGGGGCCAGCGTGGAGGAGCAAGAGGCAGCACTGTTTGACCTGGAGTTCTACGCTCATCAGGTACAGTAAATTAAAACAGTTTGTACAGGGTGAGTCAAACACCACGAAGCCCAAATGTCGGGACCATTGTTTTAGTGAAGTTCTGCATGTAGCACTTTCAAAATCTAGGATATACAAGCCTAATTCATAAGCTTTCTTTTTAGTACAAAAATCATTCAAATCACTCAAGTACTTTTCAAGCTATGGAATTTTAAACACAATTACTGCTTTAAAGTTCTGTCCTCGAATCACACAAAAGGTGTGCGTTCTTTCAGCAAAGCGAAAACAATTTACACACATCCCTATGTGATTTGTTTTCATTTTGCTGAAAGAACACTTATCTTTGTGTGGTCCGTGGACAGAACTTTTGTTTAAACTCCGTAACTTGAAAAGTACATTAGAGATTTGAATGATTTTTGTACTAAAAGAAAGCTTATGAATTGAGCTTTCATTTCCTAGATGTTGAAAGTACTACATTTAGAACTTCACTAAAACAGTGGTCCCAATATTTGGGTTTCATTTTTGACTCACCCTGTACATGCAGTCTATACCATCGCAAATTGGGTTGCAAGCAAATCACAAGTCAATTGCAATCAGAAGTTGGGTCACGAGTTAATCACAAGTGCATTCATAATCAGGGGAAGTTACATACATGTACATGTCCGATCTCAAGTAACAGGGATGAACAAGAACAAATGCCTTTTAGTATGTGACTTGGGTGTGGATGAATTATGATGGCCTAGTGAGGACTTGCAAGGGACTTGTGATGGCTTTTGAGGAATTATAATTGGTTGTTGATGGGCTGTGAGGACTTGGGATGGACTTGTGCAGACTTGTGAGGACTTTATGATGGACTTGTGATGGACTTGTGAGAACTTTATGATGGACTTGTGATGGACTTGTGAGGACTTGTGATGGACTTGTGAGGACTTTATGATAGAGTTGTGATGGAGTTGTGATGGACTTGATGATGGACTTGTGATGGACTTGTGAGGACTTTATGATGGACTTGTTAGCACTTTATGATTGTCTTGTGATGGACTTGTGAGGACTTGTGAGGACTTTATGATGGACTTGTGAGGGCTTGTGAGGACTTATTAGGACTTTTGATGACTTGTGATTGGCTGATGATCGGCTGTGAGGACTTGCGATTAGCTGTTGATGGACTTGTGATTGACTTGTGAGGACTTATTCGTGAGGTCTTGTGAAGGTCTCGACTGGAACACTTAAGTATAATGAATGGTGCATCACATGTTTACACAGGTTCAATCTCTTGGTTGTTTGTTCTACAGCTGTTACAATGGGAGACTTTTGAGACGTTGGTAGCAGCAAACACACCGGTCCTTTTTCCATTGCGTCATTTCGAGCATGCACGCTTTATAGCTTAAACATGATGTCAACAATCGAAAAGGACCAGTGTGTTTGCTGCCACCAACGTCTCAAAAGTCTCCCACCTGATATTTGTAATGTTTGAAAGGACTACAACCAGTTAAATTTGTGGATGATGTGTATTGTATCTACCATACTGAAGTATAAAATAGAGTATAGCAACTTCACCATGAATAGGCAGAGATTTTGAGTTAAATATAAAGCCGTAACTTTAACCCTAACAGAACTCAACCCATCAAACCCCAACGGCATGATTCGTTGGAATCTGTCAGGATGGGTACAGTACCCCTAAACTGACAGTCTTTTACATTGGGTTGGCGCACCTCCAGAATCAAAGTCAGAAATATGTGTGTGCAGTTTCCCAAATGGTGTTTGAATTTGCGAGGATGGGTATGGTTCCTAGTAAATTATGCTAGGGAGTTGGGGTAAATCCATTTTTGTTTTGTTTTGTGCTAATACAGATTGACAACGCACAAGATTTGATCACCATTGGTGGTTTTGACTTGATCATCAGAGCGCTGAACGATACAAGGGATGTTATCCGTAAACAGGCTGCGTTTGTCCTGGGCTCTGCAGTACAGAGGTGAGAACCCTATGGAAAATAAAAACGAGATACGCCATTTTTTTCACCCGATCTCCCATGGCGTTTTACTGCTTGAAATATGTACATGAAAAGGTGGGGTAAAAAAAAACCCAGCTGCTACATCAGATTTAAATAAAAAGGGTTTGTTCTCAACAGTTTTTCCGCACCTGTATTAAAGACATTATTTGTTTTTTTGTGACCAGACATAGGAAACAGTAAAAGCACTCAATTTTGGTAAATCCACAGGTGAATATTTGAAAGTACAAGAAGTGGCCATGCGGAAAGTTCCTAGCAAAGAGGGGGGGGGGGGGTCAGATTCCCCTAAGATCTCGGCCATCGAGTGCCGAAAAATTTTGAAACTCGGTACATGCATAGAACAACTTATCATGAACATACCCAAGAAATTTCATGACTATATATAGCTCAAAGGATTTTGGAATTATGGCTAATTAATTATTCATATGCATGAATGGTAATTCTGCTCTGTGTACACTACGTATATGGAGAAATTATGCGCCAGAAATGTTTTTGCTGCACCGCACCCCGTTGTCCCATTTTGATGTTTTTGGTATTAAAAGATGCGCAAGGCTCGAGGCTAAAAAGTCAGAACAGCTCGGGTCGCAATTTTTTTTTTTAAAGCTAACGCCGAAAAAGTTGAGTGGGGGGGGGGGGGGGAAGGCAGATTCCGCCCCCCCCCCCCCCCGGCCCCTTTAGGGTTAAAGGCAACCTAAGGGAGTAAGAGTTTAACACTAACCCCTAGGGCCTTTTGGCTAGGAACCTTCCTCAATTCTGCAAAATCCTGCAAGTGCCTCCATGTAAAAATTGCATTCAGCCTCAGAGAAAGAAAGTTGATTCCTTCCATTTCATTATACTCCCAGCAATCCAAAGGTTCAGGTGGAAGCCCTAGAGCGGGGTGCCATCCAAAAACTCCTTCATCTTCTCACCGCCTCTCAGCCAGCAGACATCCGCAAGAAGGCCATGTATGCCATCTCCTCCTTGGTTCGTCACTTCCCCTACGCCCAGGTGAAGTTCCTGCAGCTGGGCGGTCTGGACAGCTTCCTGGAACTCTTCAGAGAGTCAGACCCAGGGCTGCTCCAGCTCCAAGTCAAGGCTGTTACGCTTCTACATGACTTGCTGCTGGAACAGGTATCGATCTGCCATTTATAAATTGTAGGGTGTGCCCTTCATGTCTGCTACATGTTCCACCATACGCTTCATGCACTATGGTGATGACACAAGTGATAACCCTCAACCAAAAATTTCTTCTTTTTTCAGTGTTGTAGGACTGGAGTCTAGGACTGAATCGAGTCAAACTCGAGTCACATTTTTCGTGACTCGGACTCGACTCGAGTCACATTGGAAAATGACTCGGACTTGGACTCCCATGATGACTCGGACTCAAGCTTGGTGATTTGCGACTTGAGTCACGTATTTTCATCGAAAGAAAAAACATAACGTTACGTATTTGTCCGACAAATGTAGCATTCTTTTTTACTCCATAGACAAAACATAGCGCCGCGGAAAATCGTATAATGTTTGAAAAATGTTTGGATGATAAAACATGCAGGGAAGGGATGAAAGAGGTTTTTTTTAGGGATGGGAATTAAAAGGAAAACACATTTTGGGTCTAAAAAAAATGTACACACACAATGTAAACTATATACACTGGGATTTACTTAGAAGACAGAATGGATATAAACTAATTTAAATGAAATACATTAGTTTGGTGAACACCTAAGAACAAGTGACTCGGACTCCAGGCTTGTGACTCGAGACTCGGACTCGGACTTGAGGCTGGTGACTCGAGACTCAGACTCGGACTCGACGTTGGTGACTCGACTACAACACTGCTTTTTATCTATTTTCTATTTTAATAAACTTGACATGTCTTGTTTCATGACAATTGCACGCATTTCTATCCATTTTCAGAAACTTCTTACACAGGAATCAGAAGTTGGAGATGCATTGAAGCAGCAAAGAATTCAGCAATATAAACAGTAAGTATTAAAAACAAAAATTGGTAGTAATTCTGTACAATTAGGGTTGAGTCAATTTGAATAAATGAATATTCGAATATTCAACCTTCCATATAGCTTGACTTACCATGACCTTATTTTATTATCGAAACTTTCAGTTGGAAATGGTTGATTGGCTTGTAGAGAAGTACAGTTTCCTGATTTTTCTCTGTGCACGTCCGGATAAAACACATTTAACAGCTAGCCGTGAGTCTGTATATAGATCAGTCTGACTGGGCCTGGGCCAATTACGCACAATGAACCATTTGCGGTATGGCCGTATTCGGAAATAGAAGTACTCGTACTCTTTTTTGTACTCGGAATACAAGTACTCATACTCGGAGACCTGAACTTGTACTTGGAATTACAAGTAAACTCGTACTTGTACTCGTACTCGGCAACCTAAGTACTCGGCAGTAACTCGGAAAACAGTACTCGACTACAACACTGGTAATTAGCACAGATGTTGTGATGGTACCTATTTTACCCCTGCTTATACATTGCTTTTTGTTCTGTCTGGACAGGGTCAATCTTCTCTCAGAGATGATGAAGCAAGGTTGGTGTGAGATCATTCCGTCCTTACTCCAAGCACCAGAGCACGACGTCCGGGAGAAAGTACTCCTTGCAATGCAACTCCTGCTGGATGAATGCCAGATGAACTATTACAAAGACAAACAGCTCATCGGAAGGTCAGTTCATCAAGTGATCAAGTGCAAAGTTCCTTCTGCTGAGTTGTAAATACAAAAAAAAAGATTTAAAGATATAGATACAGTGAAATCTCGATAAGTCAAAATCGGTTAACTCAAAAAATCTGTTAACTCTAAGAAAAACTTCTTCCTGTCAAAAGAATAGCAAATCATGTATAAGCATGCCCACACTAATTCGAAATTTCGGACCGGACACTCAAACTCCAAACGCAAGGTGCAGAATAAAATTTGCGTAATAAGACCACAGAAGAAACTGGAATGCTTTTGTTAAGTTAAGAAATCTTTCATGACCCAAACAATAAACCCAAACTTGGGTATAGAAAAGCAGAGGCTATTAGCGTCCGTAGTATCGTTGAAGAAGTCTATTCACTGCGGTGAAACTGACAATGATCCAAGCGAACTGTGACCAATCACTGCGCTCCCAATACTGAGTAAAAAGATCACAAAAGTTTTTTTGAGTCATTATTGCTAAACACACTTCAGCTTTTCATGTGGGGATGCAGCGTACATGATGCCATTATGATTTGACTCCAGCCTGTAACCGCAACAAATCCTGATTGCTAACGCTGGCCCAAATGCAGCCAGCAAGCTGGCTGTCCAATCTCTGGCTCTTTGCGGTGACCACGTTACTGCATTGGAAACGTACGCCTGGCTTTCGAGTGAGCCTGATCGCTACCGCGGCTGGCCCAGGTAGCTGTAGCTTGATCCATTGCGCGCCCTCTAACGATCAAGTAGGACCGTCACACGATCGCTAGAGACTATAGACATTGACAGACGACACAATATAAAGATTTGCTACACTAAGTTTTAATTGGAACAGGAAAGTTCTTTTGAAACACCACATTGCCTAATTTTCCTTAACTTTTGTTTTCCAGATTGTCAGAGTTGAAGTCAGAGTACGAGAAACATGCACTAGAGGAGCAGGTGGAAACGGGTGGTACGGAAGACTACTTCACTCAATTGTCTCATCTTGTCACGGACATCATGGGTCAGCTGTCACTATCGCCTTAGGAAATTATCCCGGATTATTGCGATCAAGTCTTTCTTGCGTCCAGAAACTACAGACCGAGAGCACGGCTTGAGCAGATGAAAACAGGCAGTTTGGGGAATTATTTTTTTTAACCAGCTGTCTCACATCTTGCTATGGAAACTGAGGGTCGGCTGCAAGTACCTTCTCAATTGTTTTTCAAGAAAACTGAGATGAAGCTTTGTACCCAGCAATTGCAAACCAAGAGTAAGACTGGAGGAGGTGAAAATAGTTGACCTTGATGGCTCTAGCACTCTCGTGCGGTTGACACTATCAGTGTAAAACTATCCAAGATTTTTGTGTCACCTAAACAAAGTTTTGGGAGACACTTACCAGTCCTTAATTCTGTATGACCGTATGTCCGTAGACCCGTACACACCAGAGCTACTTGTTGGGTACTCCTACAAAGGGAATGGTACCCCACAAGTGAAATCTTTAGAAAAACGGTACCCCACAGGTGAAATCTTTACAAAAAGGGATAAAAGGACAACAATGTTCCTACCCCAGAACTCCCATCCGCTTGATTGTCCATATGTTCGTAGACCTATGTTAGAAGTTTTGAAAACATGTATAACTTCTACAAGCTTTCATGGATTTTAATGAAACTTGGATGCAGTGACCCTTGGGTGGGAAGACAGGATTCTTTACCGGATTACTGAGGTCAAAGGTCATGTAGGGGTCATTAGAGGTCATTGTTAAAATATGCTTTAAATGTTTCTTTGGATGGAGTGATCCTTGGGTGGGGTTTCATCTCCACTCTTCCGAAGTTGGAGGTCAAAGGTCGTCTAGGTGTCATTTGAGGGAGGTCTTTTAAAAATGCACAAAATTTGACTTTTTATCAGAGCACAAATCATATAGGGATTGACCCTCGGGAAAAGGCGACACATGCGAAGCATCCATGAAACGAGGTTAACTCTGCAGGAACTGATTGTAATGGGTAGTGCAAAGGGTTGCATCACATCACAGTTACTAACCATCACCTCAAAACTACCAAAGATTGTTGCTCTGCTGGAACCCGTCTCCCATGAACCAAGAGTAAATCTGGAAGAGCAGTTGAAAACAGGTGTTGGAGAGGGTTGCTGGACTAGTCCGTCTGACCCTCGCAACTGTTACTCTCAAAGATTGTCGAGATGATGATTTGCTCGATCCAATTGCATCTCTGTAGGAGAAGGTGGAAATGGGAAGTGCAGAGGGTTTCTGGACTTGCATCTTCATGTATATTGTTGATATTTTGGGTTTGCTGTCGCCATTTATATGATGCAGCTTCCACAAACTGAGAGGACAACTCTGGATGAGTAGGTGGAAATGGGCAGTGCAGAGGGTTGCTGGAGTTTGTGTCATTTCATCGTAAATGATGTGTTATAAGTTGTTATTTTAGTTCGGTTTTAAGGGGTCAGCTATCAATCTTTTTGTTTCCTTCAGAAGAATACCCGGTACATGTAGCAATTTTGAAAGATTAAATTTTGCATCAGGAAGATTTAAAATCAGTTTTGGGTTTTGCCCTTAACCCTTACTGGTAAGTGCATACTCAGTGGCACTAGTCTCGGCAGGAAAAATTTCGAGAAAAAATATCAAGCTTACTCAGTTTGGACTCGAACTCACGACTTGCAATATCGATATCTTGCCACTTAACCATCAAGCGTGTCAGGGTTGGCTGGCTGGTTCAGATCTGATATAATCTTGATTGCGCTGCCCCCCCCCCCCCCCCCACTGCTATTTAAGATTTAAACCGGCCAGCCAACCTTGGCAAGCTTAGATGTGGAACATACGACATCTGCACTGGTAAGCAGGAAGTCGTGGGTTCATGTCCCACTGGATTAGTCTTATGAACTGTTTGTCACAAGCTCGTAGTATACACTGAAGGGCAAAATCCAATTTATATCGACTTAAGAAGCTGCATAAATAAATAAATAAATTGTAATGCTAATAAAGCGCTTTCCATCGTATCAACAATCTCAAAGCGTGTTTACAATTATTCACCCGTTCATCAGGTCACGAGACCACACGGCAACCGATATCGGCACACGTTTGGCCCTCTACCCTCACAGGTATCCATTCATACTCCTGGGTGGAGTGAGGCAATTGTAGTTAAGTGTCTTGCCCAAGGGCACAAACACCATGTTCCTGGCAGGGTCCAAACCCACACACCATCCTACATGAGTCGAACACAGTGACCACTGGACCATGGCATTCTACATTGTACCTCATGACTAATAACCGTCTTTTTTCACTAGTTAGTGAGACTTACAGAATATGAGTGAAGGATGAAGTTTGAGCAATGGAGTAATAAAACAGTTCATAGGCCTATGTAAGCCATTTTCAAACCTCGAGTTGAATGGAATGTATTTGTTTTCTGTTTCTTTGTGAATATGCATAAGTATCGTTATTTGATAAGTAAAACTAACTTCATTTTACTTGTTCATTTGAATAGTCGTGTTAAACGATTCAGTCTGCATTTTGACATCCAAAATATCAATATTCAGTTTATTAATATTCAAGTATGTGTCAAAAACAAAATTGCTTGTGTTTTTTTTTTCTTTTTAAATGTGAGCAAACCCTGAATTTGAAAATTATCGCTTGAAGAAATCCTTTTCAAAATGAAATGAGTATTATAAATATATCGCAATATTTATCTGATATACATGTATGTAATATAACATACAGTGTATTATACTTTTGGGAGTTGGTTTTTAGGTGCTTGGCAAGTAAAAAGGATTTGGGAAAATAAAAACACGGTTTCTGAATTCTGATACAAATTGTTGATATCTCAATGTTTTAGAAGTCAAGTCTGTAATCTCAGTGCGGGAATATGTTTCTGGTGACTAACGACATCTGGACAAATTTGAAGAAAATCATTTTTTTTTCATCTAGAAGGGCAAAGGGTGAAACTCTGAATATACAGGGCGAGTCCAAAAGAAAGCGACCAAATTAGAAGAAAAAAAATGTTTGAAAAAATGTAGCTCGCTCCATTTCACAAAAATGTTATGACGGGTGTGAAATCTCAGCTTTAAAGCTAATTTCAGCTTTCTTCTGTTTTGGAATTCAGCTTTTTTCCCTCACTTGCTGTGTACAAAAGTATAGGAGATTTCCAAAGTTCAGCTTTTTTACACCCTTTTCAGCTGTTTTTTATCAGTGGTCACTCACACCCCTGTGTTATGGTCTACCCTGTTGTTAGTTCCAAGGCGGGGGTCGTGCACTACTTAAAGTAGGAGGCTGCATGGAGTCCAAAAGTGAGGATTGATTCTTCTGATCTTTTAATCGTTACACTTGATTGCAATAACAATAGTCCACACCAGGTGCGGATGTAATAACTAAGAATAAGCCGTAACCATAACCCCCAGTATCAGTCTAACTTCCAAACTGTTAAGTAGTCACATGGAATGCACTTCATCGGCCCACGGTAGAACGTATTCATAATACATTTGTACTAAAGATTCAACAGTCATCTCAAATGTGGCGGTTAACAAAGTTTGTCGAGAGACAACCCGCCGGCGCCATGCTTGCAAATGAAGCCTTCTTTAGGTCAAGTAGTCCACTTTCATCGTTAAGCCATGAATGAGGCATTCTGTGAATTTCCCATTTTTATAACCAATGGTAACAAGTTGTGTAGCTATCGTTCAATCCCAAATAATCAAAAATTGCCATCAGTATTTCAGACAAAAATGGTCCTCATATTCAAAACACAAAATCTGACAGTAAAAATAATGTTTTGACTCAAATGATTAAAATCTAAAAATAAAAAGTAGGTTCTTTCAGTAAAACATGCGTAACTTCTGATAGCTGGATCAATTCCAGTATTTGTTTCTACAGATGAATGGGAGAACATGCTCTTTTAAGGCATACTTCATTGGTGTATCAAATTTGATTGTTTTAAGGAAAAAAAACATTGATCCAGTTAATTTTCTTTCCTTTTTACTCGCCCTGTAGTCATGACAAAAGAAGCGTAATACTTTCTGATTCATAACTGCAAGGATTTGAGCAAATTTGATTGCTTGTATAAAATAATAATTATACTAACAAGCACAATAGGGCGACACTTCCATAGACTTGTGCACAAAATTTACCCTAGCCCTAACCCTAGCCCTAACAGGAACCCTAAACCTATCCCTATAACCCCTTATCCCAACCCTAACCCCTAACACTAACCCCTAGCCCTAGCCTTTGTCAAAATGGCGGTTTTCATATTGTGGCGACAGTTATGTGTGGCCCTAACACTGTGTCGCTCCATTAGAGCAAATTTAATAAACTGTCACCCTATTAGAGCTGTTAATACAACAAAATATCAGCTTATTACAGATCCAAATATTTTAAAGGAAAGACGAGTTTAATACTTAATGTTTTGTACTATTCCAATCAAATCCGTACTTCCTATGTTTTAAAGCCTAAATAGCCCCGAGACAATGACATAATACTCGAGATGCAGTGCGGGCAATGAGAACCTGAGCAGAAACTTGCCATGGAGAGAGATGGGGCACATGTGGAAGGCACTGTACTGGGGCTAGTTCTTGATAGCTTATTAAGCAAAGTTGTGTTTATTCCAATGCCGAAATCAGAGAAGACTTTAAACAACATAAGTGATTATTTAGACAGACCATTTACTCTTTGAATGTGCGTGAAATTATGCAACACTTTGACCCCTTATCGATAGCCAGAACAAAGCCAATTATGACTTCACCAATTCAGATTGTCTCTGATCAGTCATGCGTGACCCTAGCATCATCTTGCTTGTATCAAAAGAAAAAGTACAAAATTAGCTTTCAAATAAAGTGTACACTTATTATAAAATGTTTATTAATTATTAAGCAATATACACCGAAACCCCAATTTCCTTTTTTTTCAAGACACTGTATTTTAGAAGCACTTTTCCAATTATAATTGCCACAAGGTTTTACTTAAGAAACTACAAAAAAAAATTACCTCTTACTTGTGACTGCAGGCAGACACAAAAATGAAAGAGCATGTCATAATAAATCACTTCCTTTTTTCTCATAGGCTACTTCTGTGTATACATTCAGAACAATTCCAGGGATGAGAATGGTATCATTTCTCCTGCTAAATTTAATATCTGGCAAGTTGGAACTATACAAGTAAATTGAAAATAAAAAATGTTCTTACAAATACACACGAATTCTTCAGTAGAGTTACAATAGCTGTACATTTATACGATTAAATTGCAAATACACCACCAGAAATTCATAAAAAATAAAATTTAACAAAGAAGGCACAAAATGGTATTAAAAATATAGGCCTATGTCTTCACAGTTTTGATTCCAACACCTGATTAAAAAAAAAAGTAATACAAATGTACTATGGTGCTACATGTACAGTCGAGTCTCGTTATAACAAACTCGTTTGGACCTAGCCAAATTGTTTGTTATATCAGAATTTTGTATTAAGAGGGAACATCAGTCCCATTCATTGTGTACATAAATGCACAGTCGAGACCAAGGCTTTATGTTTGTTATAACCAGAATTTTGTATTAACAGAGTTTGTACTAACGAGAGTCAACTGTACTTCCCATCACCACTACCAAATACCAATACTTTTGATCTGTTTTCTTTTGTCTTTCGGATTTTTATATGCGTAAAAGCGGTCACGCCTCATCCATGAAACACTTGCAATTCATTAAACAACAACTTGTAAAGAAAGAAAGAATGTAATAAATATTTAGCTTTAAGTTGCCTTCAAATATCTCGGGCCGCTTTTTTTATTTTACTCTCAGCCTAAAATGCATCGTTGCAATTGCTTTATGTAGCATCTGTTCTATTCCCTTGGCCATAGGCCTTCACCACACGGGTTGTATTTAAAAATAGGTTATCCAAACATAACAGATTGGTATGTGGGAGTTGTGAACATGATTGCCCCGTGAAGGGTTCATCAGCTTTCCATGTGTACCTCATTTGCATCTCTGCAGTCACGGATGACCCGGCCCATTGATTTCAAACAAATGCTACCCCGGTCCCGACCTTCCTTTTGTCAGGAGACCTGATTCAGTGGTGAATTGAGCTGCCAAAAAAACATTCAAGCGCAGTGTATTATTGTGTATAATTGTAAGGAAGGCATATTGAACGAGTTGGTGCATAATACATGTATAACTGCATAAAGCCATAGGCGTAGCTAGGGGGGGGGGGGGGGGGGGGGGGGGGGGGCATAACAAACCGTCTCGGATCAAGGCTAATTTTGTCGTTAATAAAGTTAATAACATTTCACATACCAAACCATTACTTTAGATAACTTTGTTTTGATACACCCTGCACTTCATTTCAAATTTAACACTTTAATGTTTTAAAATCAAAATACATAATAATGTTGACCATAACTTGTGTCCACATGTACACGTATTTGCTAAAAAATGAACAGTCATATTTCATTTACATGATGATAACATTTTTCTGAAATGATGACGTAGGTTATCCCTAAGATAAGTTTGCGACAATTCCTGGGAGGGATACAGCCCAACGTTTTCAAAATAAAACATCACACAGAGTTACCAACTGTCCAAGTGCTCATACTTATACATGTACATGTATTGCCATTTGAAAAAAAATTGAACCACATGATTTCATTTGAGTGACTTCTTTGACCGTATAATGTCAACACTATACAATATAACAAAAAAAATGATCATTAGTTGGTCTTGAACCAACTTTTTTATCCCACTGCTGCCACCATTTTTTTTTTTTATCTTTCCGTATCCAACAGTTGTTTAATTTTTGTTCGCATCTACGTTTCTCTTGCCACTGCTACCATTGATAACGTCACCATGTGCTGGTTCCTTGATCACGTATGCTGAAAAGAATGTCAGGTGAAGTAGGTCACAGATATCCAGGACCACGATTCTGATGTAGTAAAACAGATCAGCTGCAGTGTAGACCTATACGCAAAGGGAAGCACGTCAGCATCTTAATGCTTAAATGGGAGTTGCAACTAAATTTCAAACCATGTGTTAATACTGGACGGTTTGCAGTTATGTGTAATCCCCCTTTCTATGGTTGAGGGTTTCTATCCTTACTTTGGCCCATGTAGGGGCCTACATCGAATTCGGAACCAAGTCGCTATAGAGTTAAAATATGTATGCTATATTAACAAAAGTTGTGTCGACAGATTAAACTGGTTGGAATTTTCCCATTGATTTTGAAAGCTGGTTGCACCAAGTGTATTGATTGTAAACACAACACAGTACCAGCTAAAGTAGAAAGACTGCGGGTAACACCATTTGGAAAATAATGTCTTCTTGGAAGAAAACCGGTTGGTTGAGTGTAGAACTCGACCTTTCGGATAGTGTGCTCTGTCCGTCCTCAGGAGGGTGAGTGATCAAGGACCATCAAGCACACGGCAGGCAAGGAGAAATTGACAAGTCAGCCATCATCATAACAAACATTCGCACGAAGACGATTATCGCATCCACTGGGACCAAGCCCGCATCATCGCTCCGTTCACCCATTGGCACCCAAGACGCATCACAGAAGCCATCGAAATCCACAGACACAACACAGTTACTCAAGACATCGGATTCCACATGAACGACATCTAGGGTACAACTCATCCAGCATCATGCAACCTACACACCAGCGCACAAGCAACCAGCATCCTGCATCCGACACACCTAAGCGCACAAGCATCCTGCATCAATCCAACACACTTCATCCCACAAGACTCCACAGCAGTCATACCCCACCACACACGCACAGCCATAAAGCCTCCAGCATCATTCACAGCCCATCACTCACCCTCCTGAGCACGGACAGAGCACACTCTCCGAAATGTCGAGTTCTACACTCAGCCAACCGGTTCTTTTCAGAACCACACTCCTTCCGAGAAGAGATTACTTTCCACATGGTGTTACCCGCAATCTTTCTACAGTATCTCATCCGCGGGGCCGTATCTTGAGTCCGACGCCTCATAAGTCCGACGCCTAATAAGTTCCAAATTTCGGAGTTATGAGGCACTGAACTTAGGGATTCGGCCTCACATAGCTCCGACGCTTCTTAAGTCAGACGACTCATAATTCTGGCAACGGACAAACGATGTTTCGGACTTATGTGGCGTCGGACCCTCATCCGCCATGCAAAGCTTCAAGTCATATACAATACCAGCTACCGATGACATGAATTTGCTATACGTTTAGTGTCCATAAAATACATTTTAATTCAAATTACACTGCTTTGCGATAAATGAGTACAATAATGAATTGTGGAGATTCAATGCAAAATACATGTGGTACATACATAAGTATAATTATGTGCATGTATCTTCAATCTTAAAAAAAAAAATCAACTGTTGCCAATTCTGTCATTGCAGGACATTCGCATATTATGTTGTAGGTACTTTGCATTCAGGGGACATTTTCCATTAAAAAAAAACAACAATTAAACTGAGCAAATGTGAACCTTTTCCCCTGAGAATCAAAAGCACTGCACTTCCAAGATGGCTGCCATTCAAAGGGACACTTTACATCTGACAAAGATGAAGTTTGATTTTTTTTAAGTGGCTTCCTTTTTTAACTTTCAAAGTCTGGAACCCCGACTCACCACGACGGCCCAAAGTAGCAAATGGCTTGACAGTGGATTATTCAAGAGCTGGTTTGCTAGAAGAACCAGCGGGCCAAGAAAAATGGAGTCCATCGGAGTAAACTTGGACTTGGTCATGTAAGCTACCTGAAAAAGTAAATAATAATTACGGATTTACTTTGAGGCTGGTGTCAATATCTTTTTTTAAATGCATATTCGCCCTGAACGCAACCTCGTCCCCATGGCTTACTTTATGTTCAACCTCGTTTCCAATAGTAAGCCCTAGGATGTGAACTTGCTTCCTGTATCCTGATTCGATAGCACAATTAGCAAGAAATGGATTTATATCGTGTACTTGGTGTTGTTATTTCCAACACGTATCACGTGTTTTCACGTTTATATTGTAATTGTAACGTCCACACCTTCTCAAAAAATAACTTCCTTTCCAGTTTGCTCATACATGTATTTATATGAAATGTGATACTGCATATTGGCTGGATAGGATTGTAACATTTCAACTTAGAATTGTTTTTTCGTGTTTTTGTCACTCATTGCCGCGACGAATTGGTTCGGTTTTTACCCCGGACACCACATACAAAAACAAACGCTGGTGTAAAGCACAGGCAAGCACTAGACTTTTTCTCATGTGCATACGTATCAAAACATTTTTGATATGCAAATGATCCAATACCAGGGTTAGAGAGCAGGTAGTGGTAGGAACGTACTGATCGACACCCTCGGAACGATGTTGCCCTGAACGAGGCTACAAGCCACTCCAGGTACAGGGCTACACGAGAAATAAAAATAAGTAGGTACTCGGTAAAACTGAAGGAAGGAGTTAACATTCCCTTTGAAACAGGACAGATCGTAGGTTGGAGGGAAACAAGTACCAGGCAAGTAATTCCAAAGAGATAAAGCTCGTGGGGAAAAAGCTATTGGAATATCCTATTGGTCTACATCTAGGTAGTGCAACAGTACATGTACATGGATGAGAACAGGCAGACAAGCGAGGAAGTTTGGTAAGATTTACCTTTTTTCCATATGGTACAGAGATAATTTTAAAATTTTTGACAATGCTCCCTGAAATGGGAAAACCGCACAATAATCTTTGAACTTGTGCGCATTCATTCTGCTAATTGGTTGTTAAAATATTAGAAACAGGGTTTTGATTTTCCTTGTGCGTTCATGGCGGAGAGTAATGCTTTTAACAGTCAAATTTAAAAGCTGTTTGGTAACCGAAAGTACAGGCCTTAACAATGATGTGGTCCTCTCCCCCCCCCCCCCCAATAAAGAAAAAGATAAGAAAACATGATCATACGCAAATGATTTATCTTCAAACCTTGCCTTCTTTAAGGCTAGCCCTCAAATTAGAATCCCTCCCCAGGCCGTTCGGGGTTGAGCCCGCCCAGTATGTTGAAGGGATTGGGACCTTGCATGGAACTGATCGGCCTGGATTAACTCGTGATGGCAGCAACATTGATAGTGAAAACATTTTTTTGTTATCATTCCTGACAAGTAAAGTAATATCATGTACATGCTCATAAAGTGGGAAAACAATGAAAATGGAACACCCTCTTTGTGAACGCAACTTTCCAAAACACTGACCATGAGTTTGTTGGACATCTTTGCTTCCAGCAGTCCAAACACGATGAAAAAGATGCATGGCTGATAGTCACATAAGTCTGTCATCTCCTTGGTAATGATAGCCAAAACGAAGACCATGGCGATGCTCAGAAACGGCGAAAACACACTTGTGCCCTGAAGAAATCGCATCAGTTAAGGTAGACAAGGACAAAGTGATACGGTTGAATGTTCAGGTAGTCCCTGTAATAACATATCTTATACTTAACCTAAATGAAGGTGATGATAAATAAACACGTATTAAAACTGACCACATTACTACAACAAACACTATAATGATATGCATCACTCATTGATTATCCTTATTAAACCAATAACATCTGTATAGGCCTACTACATTTTTTTTTAATGTGTATATTAACTAAAAAGTGAATCAAACCATATAGTGCTCCGGCGGTTTTGGGCGATACAGTAAGTGATAGGCAATTATGCGGTTTCGGGCGCTACAGTGACTAAAAGTTACTTCGGATGGGTATATAAAGCAAATCATGGGGATATTAGAGAATGAACGGATTACAAATGCTGGCTATAACTGTACTTGGTAGAATGTCAACTTTCAATACAGACATGTTCAAAACTGCAGGTGTATCAGTGAAAGGTTCACAATATTTGAGATTGAGAACTGCAAGTGAAGAGCAAAATGCAGGCAACCAACGGTTGCAATAAGATGATTCGATTCCATTCCAACGGTCACTTTAAGAAGGAACTTCATTTTGTGAGTCCCACAGATCCTTAGTTTCCCGCGGTAAAACGAAATTGACAGAAAGGCGATATCATTATCAGCATTTCAATTTCGTTCTGAGCAAAACTCAAGTGGGAATTTACCGCCACGGTTAGCCTGTAACCTCGTCTCCAGATGAATATGGCATGGTTGACCAACTTGATGACGGCCATCACTGCTGAAGAAATCACCACAGCCTCTCTCCACTCCACCCCATACACCTGCGGAATTACCAAGAAAAATGTGTTATTCACTAGACCACGTTGCAAGTTGCAACTGTTTTCAAGCCTGCCTGCATGGTAACTCATACAACTTTCACCCTTGTAACGTTGTACACACTTGAGGCGCAAGTGGGAGCCATTCCGTTGCTGGTTGGTAAAGTCTGTCGTGCACAGTTCAGATTCCAATCTTAGACAGTAGTAAGCAATTGAATGGTTAGCCCCTTGTATATGCTGCATCTGTACAAACGCCTGGTGTGCCTATCCCGTTGCTTTTGGAACGGAGTTTCTGGCGCCTTCCTTGTCTCTTGTGTCCCGCCATACCTTTTGGGCCCAGAACTGTTGTCCAATGATCGCTGTTAACAGGTAACCAAAGCAAAGTGCGAGCTCCGACTCTGTCACGTCTAGTCTGCCAATCCAATATACAAAAAGGGGAAATATTATCAACAGCAAGTAAACATAGTCATTTTTATGAAGATACGTGAATTGAACGGTAATCGGCAACAATTCCGGCTCAGCCAATATCTTGATGGACATTCTAGGGGGAAAAACCTGCCATTAATGAGTGATAAAATAAACCTGTAATAAAATTAAGGGCTTTTTTTTGGGCTAGAAAATTGTATGCAACACTAGTCCACACCCAGAGGCCTGCGCAGATCAACAGTTTAAAGGCCAACCTGCCTCAGTGTCTGTGGTCACCAACTTCAGCAGCAGGAGGAGTAGCTCTCATTGTCTCAATATTGGCAGTTTACGCCCTTGTGTTAAGTGATTGTCGAATACAAGGTTTCACACATTCCGCGCACCTGTTGCATCTGCATGGCAAGTTTAGAGTTAAACTGACACATGTTCACAGAGGCAGCTGGAAAGTCAGATATCATCTACCCAGTAAGCCAATAACTTTCTTTCCAAACCCTGAACACCCAAATAAAACAAACTATTGAGAATGAATTAAGGACTAGCAAAGGAGTTTTGGGAAGGAATGTATTAGCTTGGTGATCAGGAATAACAATACAGCGAATTCACCACCATCACCTTCATTGCGATGTCCAACGGGACTCTGTCAAAATAAACTGTGTTTATGGAAAATTTAACAATTTTTGGTACGGTATACACGAACGGTACAGTGTCACGGTTCCTGCGCTATTTTCAATACCTTCCTCATGTAAAAACAAAGACTACCTTGGACAAGGCTAATAACGTCAATATGAATCAACACGCAACTTTTAGTCAGACACAAGCATCATTATCACAATAGTAATCACAGGTCATGTTTGAAGGTCAGCAACAGTCACTAAACATTTTGTTTTCAAAGTTCATGTTGTGTCTGCAAACCTCAGGCAAAGTATGAACCTATACTCTACAGTTCATGATTGCTTACGTTCCAAATCTGACCACTCCGGAGATGTAAGTCTGCCAGTGCGCTGTGAAGAACATGAACATCGCCGTAAGCATCAGTGTCAAAAATAGCTCAGGCCGTTCACCAATCCGCATGCAGATTGCTAACTGGATGGTCACAAAGACTGTTGGAAGGAGAAGAAAATGTACATATTTACAGACAGTGGTCAGAACAATGCAATGTGTCTTAATTTTTGATGACCAAATGTTTTAGGGACTTTTTGTGTGAAAACAATATGTAACCAGAATGATGCATTTGCATTGACAAACACAAATGCCCCATTGAGCCTACACGTTAATAACCCGACTTTCATACGCTTTACATGCCAACTTATTTTCAATTTATGCTGGGAAACCATTAACAGAAAGGATCTTGACTTTTGACCTACGGGTTCCGAAGACAATGTTGAGTTTAAGCTCGGCACCCACCCCACCCCGGCACTATATCACCCCCTAGATCAACCTTTATTCCAAGTTTGAAGTCGATGTGCCAAGTAGACCTTGAGATATCCTACAAGAATCAACTGCTTGCACCCCCCCCCCCCCCCCCCCCCCCCCACACACAGATGGTTTGATTATGGTGTAAATCGAGGATGTTCCTCATGTTTCTCATCATCGATCTTTTGTTTGGTTTTGTACACGTTTTCTAATCGATGTCGTCCTCGATTTGACTCCTTTCTTCAATCACTCAATGATGTTTCACATGTGTGTCCTCGATCTACACCGTTAACATGCATATGTCTACCTTATATACCTAATGTGGACATTACTTTGTCTTCGTGTAGTTCGAAAAAACTACAGAAAAAATATTTTACTCACACTGTGAAAATTCTTTAAACCCAATTTTTTGTTGTTATGATTTCCTTGAGCGTTCCTTTTTATTTTGCGACACATAACCCTCACCCCAAAATGCCTCTCAACCTGTTTTCCAGAGAGGGGGCAAACCTCAGCTTAATTAGTCCACAGAAGGTTCAGGCAACCTGCATTGTGTGGACCTGTTTTGCTTTCAGGTCCACACAACGATGGCATGGTTGGCAATCTTTACCTACACAGTAGTTGTACGATACCACTACATATACATGTACAGACCTTATAGGTTATGCTTCGCAGGTACATACTACCTCAGAGGGTGTTCTTTTCTCATTCAATTTAGTAACAAAGAATGCACACAAGGTTCGATCATGTCTATCCAAGCGATATAAACCTAGCGCCCACCCCTATTAATTATAAACATTTACATCTGCACAAGGTTACTTTCCTACTCTTGCGTCTGGAATCTCAAACTTCATAGCGTTGGCCTTGTGGTATACTGACATTTCTACATGTATAGACAAATTTTCAGGATCCAATCCCAATTGTTGTTTTTTTGTCTCCAAAATTTTCCTATAGAATTTACATGGTAATTACACTTTTTGGAATATGCTTTACTCAATTTCCTGTTGCAAGCGTGCTAACCCCCAAAATGCTAATCTCCACAAATGTTCGCATAGATGGCAGTGGCGCTCAGCATACATTGGCAGTCTAGTATCTGCAGCGAAACTGCGGTAACTTACACCATGCGTAGGCCTAAAGACCTTTATCAAGCTGCCACCATTTCAGTCATGTTCCCTGTACCTACCAACAGTACTGACCGATAAAGATTTTTGTGCAAAAAGGAACCAGACTATTTGTCCTTCCAGCCCCGCTTTGGTTACATTTATTTGAATGGGGAAAAGTCAAATGGCTGCAACATGATAATGGTTTATAGGGTTATGCAACAAATTTGTTGCGCAGCTGCCCAATAAACGTACGATAGGTTTTTTAGAAAGAAACTTGGCCTACCTGCGCAATTTCAAAAATCATTTTTGGACGAGGAAGATAACAGGTATGGTTTCTGTTGTCACATAACGGTCATTAAATCAACCCCAACCATTTTGGAAAAAGTTTTGTCCAATTTTTTTTCGGAATCGTGCGGCAACTCTTAAAATTCTTTCAAGGATTGAATAGCAATTCATCTACATTTACTTCAAAAAAAAAAACAAAGCTTCTTGAGAGCTCCTTGCATCAACCTTGATAAGTTGAACAAGGACAGGCTCTGTGACGATCACAATTATAACTTACTCCACCTTTAATACATGACTGCGTAAGTCTGTTACACCATAGTTGTTGCACAACTTGCGGCGTATAAAGTGGAGTTGCACCGTTAGGCCAAAAAAAGTCTCCGGTTTCTGGTATGCGTGCGCGTCGCCGTAGCCATGCGCGTCGGCAAAATGAAAAAGTTTTGTTTCAATGTAAGATGATGTCTAAAAACTGCCAAACTCACTGGTTCGACTGGAATCCTGCTGCTGCACAATTCTATCGTGTCGTTAAGATGGGCTCCCATATATTTGCACTAAATTTAGTCCGGCACCATTTGCAGTCATCAGCCGACATAAATTTTAAAGGAAAAAAAAAGTAAAAAAAAAAAAAAGGCCGCATCGCCGCACCACTTTGGGGCAAAACTGGAGCCATTTTTTGGCCTTAAGTAAAATTTGGTGAAATCGGGTGCTTGGCCCCTTTAATGGGGAGAGTTACAAATCCACACCTCATATCCCTAAATTCTGTTCCCCTTACAAACTCTGTTCCCCTATTGTATATCCCAACCGTGGGCTATTTTTGTTTTTACCTGTGGAGACAGAGTCGCTCGCGTGGTCAACTATCTCCGCAATATGCCAGTCCTTTTTGTTGGCTAGTCCGCGCAAACACTGCTTCCCATCCAAAGCATCGCAGATCTGATACAGGAACATGGTTACCGAGGCCAGTGCACACGCCCACAATGGAACCTTAAGACCAAACAACAAAATACAGGTCACTCTTTGTTCCCTCAGTAAAATGTTAGACCTCTGACTTCTTCTAGTCTGGCCCAATAAGAGTCCATATTCTACCTCGGCAACATCAAATACTTACACCAAAGGCTAAAAGGTTTGTTAATTGAAGACTTCCAAAACAAATGATTTTTGGAGTGAAAAGTGAAGCGGACGTTAGAAACTATAACTTGAGGAGAAATGGATGAACTCACACATAATATGGTTAAGGTATAAGATTTTAACATGAAAAAAGATGATTAACCCTTACTCTCTGAGGGTAGTTTACTGCATGTCAGTTGGTTATGCCAATGCCCTCCAGCTGCAGTTTATTGGAGGATACTTTGATGTAGCAGTGAAGGCTCCAATTGGCAGGAGTTGGAGGCCCTGGAGGGTGCCTGATACTGACCAGCTGGGGGCACTCACTTTGTTATCAGAGGACTCTCATTGTTCTCTGTGGCATGTATTGGAGTGCCTGTCCAGTTACCCTTGAAATGACATGGCAGATATTGGAGGGCCATGCAAAAAACATAGGAGATTTTCTTGAGGCACAATTGGCATGCGTTGGAGGGTCAAGTAGGGTAAGGGTTAAATGAACTATTCCTATTAAAGGAAACTAAAAAACAGCCAGCCAAATTCTGGTGAGGGACTCGAGTAGGGGAATCAGTTGGTTTAAAAAAGAAAATCTACTTTCGTTTCCCGAAAGAAACTTTTCCCCCCGGTGTAATAGTCATACTGAAACCAGAAAGCCTCGTTGCAGTCCGTCCTGCTATGCATAATACCGTCTCCTGTAGTTCAATAAAACAAAAATCATCCTCGATTTTTTCCTTTAATGAACCACATAAGATAAGGAGACGAACAGTCAAGCTGAGTGTTTTGGGTACATTAATGGAGAACCATTTATTCTAATAAGGCTTCTAGGCCAGACCAAATTGAAAAATTCTACAAGGCCAAACCACATACATTAGAGTCTATATTGTAACTACATCTAAGAAATAAAAGAGACATCCTCCAAAAAGTATATCCCGAACAACTAGATTGTGGGTAGTTGACAATAAATTTAAAAAGTTACTTGCTGGTAGGACGATATACATGTAGTATAGGTACAATTTGTATAGTATTTGAAAACATTTATGAAGTTCTTGGCAATGCTTTTGAAAAAGGCTGTGTCAATTTTAACCTTTGCTCAGGGGAGAGGGTAATATATGCTTGGAATGCCTCAGATTTCCAGTCCCCCATCATTTTGACTATTTCACAAGGAAGGCAGATTGCTAAGCCCAAGTTGCCCCTCCTCTGTGAAAACTGTGAGTGCCAAACTGTGATGGACGGAGCTTTAATTTAGTCAGCAGTTAGCTGCCGCTTGGATCAGAATGAAGCTGATCGCACTTGCCTTCACAATATACGCATTTCATATTACATAGCGACAATACTAATTATTTAACAGGTTGCTATGCAAAACCATCTGTTTCCATGAATAATGAGGGCGAGTACTTTGAAACAGGATGTGGGAGGCCTCCCATGTGGGGGCCATCGACCAACACTGACCATGAGTTGTGGTAAGTGTTGTTTGTGCATCAAATGTATACTGTCTCCTGTAGTTCAATAAAACAAAAATCATTTTTGCTTTTTTCCCGTATGCAAACTTTAGGCGACAACTCCTAAGGTTTTCCGAGATGTGTCCTTCCAAAGATAGGATGCCATGCCCACTTTTTTTTGCACTCGCGAGTTGCTAACATTAATTAACAGGGTGTTTTGAGGCTGCAGCTTTGAAATAAATCATAATCTTTCAGAATCTATACCATCAGCACTAGCCTGTCTCTTCTCATTTCAGAATTAGCCCCTCAAATTTGAATTTTTTTTCCACAGGCGAAAATCAAAAAGTCAATTTTCAAGGGGCTCCTGTCAGCCCAGGATCTGTCACAGACGGCATAGTGATGTTGCATTCCTTTTATTTGTGGACAAGTATGTCTGCAATAGGAAGAATAACTACATTGAAGGAGTAGAGAGGCTCTAAAAAAGGTTCCATGATGACAGAGCCACGTCAGTACAGAGTTTAACTCACCGGGAACATTTCCCACTGAAAGACATTGTCATTTAATCAAACACGAACCACAAAGAAGTCTATTTGTTCTGACGGTCTGCACAAGAGACGCGATAAAAGACACTGGCGGCCACGGCGCGCGAGGCGCCATCTGCTCGAACCGGCAACTCGACTGATTGACGAGAGCGTCCTTCAAAGTTGCCTTTCGCAAAGAAGAATGAGCTAATAGTTTCAGGTATAAAACTTTATCCAGAAACTTCTCGTTCGTTTAATATCTCCTGTGTTGCAAAAGATGTACATGTACATGTAGTGGTGAAGCAAGGGTTATCAGGTGGGGCCTGGGGTATGGAAAGGATAATACATGCAGAGGTGTTTTGCATTCAGATGCAAAGTACGTTTTCTGTTTATTTGCAGGTTTAAGTGGATGAGTGATGCCAAGCCCCCCCCCCCCATGTGCTTATAATTCACTTCCAGTGCGTAGCACTGGCTTATGTTCTAGTCCAATTAAAAACTTGTTAGTTCCAGTACCTCTGATCCCGAGTCCTATTATAGAGAAGGGTGCTTACCTCATCGGTCGCGGTGGGGGAGTAACACATAAGGATTGTAAAGCTGGTCATATTGAGTGCTAAGCCAACCATGGTGATGACATTGCAGTTGATTCTTGGTGGGATCATACTAAACAGCCGACACCACAACACTTGCATGATAGGATCCAGAAGGGTTCTCCCTTCCACCACGTACCGGTGGTCCCTCACCCGTTCCATCTGCTTCGGGGTTAACACCCTGCCCCTTTTCATCTTGCCTCGATTTGTAGATTGCTGCAAGTTTAGTAGAGTTTGAAAGAACAACCATGGGTGGGCATGGACTTTAGACCAGTTCCTAATTGAGGGAGAGAAAAAAAAATCACACTTAATGTTTACTTTATCTCATGGGCAATTCCACACCTAAGCGGACATGACACAACAAAATTCAAATGCATGTGACTTAAACAAGTTTGGCGTCAAATGAAAGCTAAAAGTCTATATTTTCAAGATTTGAAGTCGGAATTTTATTTTTGATACATTTCGGTACCTAAAAATAAGATTACGTAATAATCCTGTTTTAATCCTAAAAATGTGATTAATAGTGATATGAAAGTATCTACCAATACAAACACAAAAATATGTACTAATGCCATCAGTTTCTGTCATGAGAAGGTATAGGTCATGAAAAACTGACTGAAACTTTTTTTTTTTACGTTTTGCGTAATTTGTTTCGTACGGAAGCCCGTTCGTGCCAGATTTTAAAAGTGAAAAATATTTTTATTGCGAAATAACGCAATAGTTTTTGCGAAATAACGCAATAGTTTTGCGAAATAACGCAATAGTTTTGCGAAATAACGCAATACTATTACGAAATAACGCAATACTTTTGCGAAATAACGAAAAAGTATTGCGAAATAACGCAATAAATGTATTGCGAAATTACGCAAAAGTTTTGCGGAAAAAAGCAATAGTATTGCGAAATAACGCAATAGTTTTTGTTATATAAACCCAATTTTTTTGAGAAAAAATGCATGAGTCCGAATGGTTGAACCTATAAGCCTACTTCGGCCTACTTTAGGCCTACTTATAGGCAAACTCTCACGTCATATTTTCTGACAGATACAGTTTTTATGGTGTATAAAACCCACCCTGCATGGCGGATCCTGGATTTGTAAAGGAGGTTAGCGGAGGACAAGTAATAAATAGGACCAAAGACCTAAAGCAGTGACTAGAGGTTGTATAACCAGATTGCTATTTCACGAATCTAAGAGAACATTGGGATTTTCGACCCAGTTGGCATTTTTAGTCATACCATGTTTCCGTATGTACACGTACGTGAGTGGCTACACGGGCACATGCATTTTGCCGTCGACTGGGCAACCATCACTGTGTAGGCGGTCGACTTAATAACTGAAGGGCGATACCATTGTTCAGTGGGGGTGAATATCTGTGTCAGGGGATGACGTGTACAAAGTGTGCGTTTAAAAAACCTGTAAACTTGGCAGCCAACCTGTGAAAACAACACCATTGAATCGTGTGCGTCGTTTGTATGAGTTCTCTGCCCCTTCCGAACAAGCACATTTTCAACGGGCCCTGCACTAGTTGTTACAATACGAATGCACTGTGGATGCATAATTAAATTCAAATGATTATTAACATTCTAAAGTTTGTTTCCTTCAGGTGCATGGGTAAAACGCAGTACTTGTAGTTGCGAGGGAATCATTCAGTTCTCTTCTGTCAGCACGCGTTCGTGCTTGGTGGCCATTTTGAGTCGGTTGTGTTTAACAAAAATCAGAACGCACATGATTCAATACGGGGGGGGGGGGGGGGGGTGGGGTGGGGGGGTGAAAAGATAATAAAGACCTTAAAACTTGTTCCCCCCGGCAAAAATGCCACAGAAATGTCTATTATGGCAACGCTTTCTGAAAAGATCAAACATAGGCCTTCTGGTTTTCAGAACCCCGCCCCTTTCAAAACAAAACCGTACCACGACAAGAGCACAGCGGATAAAAACGCAACAGGACGAACAGGAACTTCAAGAACATTTCATCAAAATGGACAAATAAAGGCCAAACTGAACATCTGGGATGAAGTTTGTACACGACAGTATTGCGTTATTTCGCAATAAGTATTGCGTTATTTCGCAATAAGTATTGCGTTATTTCGCAATCAGTATTGCGTTATTTCGCAATAGTATTGCGTTATTTCGCAATAGTATTGTGTTATTTCGCAATAGTATTGCGTTATTTCGCAATAAGTATTGCGTTACTTCGCAATAAGTATTGCGTTATTTCGCAATCAGTATTGCGTTACTTCGCAATAAGTATTGCGTTATTTCGCAATACTATTGCGTTATTTCGCAATACTATTGCGTTATTTCGCAGTACATTTATTGCGTTATTTCGCAATACTATTGCGTTATTTCGCAATACTATTGCGTTATTTCGCAATAGTATTGCGTTATTGCGCAAAACTATTGCGTTATTTCGCAAAACTATTGCGTTATTTCGCAATAAAATATTTTTTCACTTTTAAAATCTGGCACGAACGGGCTTCCGTAGTTTTGCTTCAGTGACTTCTAATATTTCAGCCTTCGAAAATGTCCTTCCGTTACCGAAAAAATACATATTTTTAATTTATTTTTAAAACTTGCAGCATGAATGCAGTGAAAGTTATTGTGCAAAGCAAGTTTAGGTAGGCCTTCAATATGACATTACAACTGACACTTCTGTACACTTCTCGTTTTTTAATTACAATTAATTAAATCACGTCCTTCCGTTACCAAATTGGTAACGGAAGGACGGTAACGGAAGGACAAATGTTATTTTTATCAAATGTTACGACATTTTGCGCTCATGTTTGAAAAATGAAAATCACTGCAACTACATGCATGTATAATGACAGGCATGCAACTGGGAAATCACAAAAAAAAGAGGAAATTCAATTTTTTTCACAGACTTTGTACAGTGTTTTTCTATTTTCAATGGCACACATGGGAAGTAAAAAAAGAGGAAATCAGCTGATCCGAGGAAAAGTTGCATGCCTGTAATGAGCATTGGAAGGACATTTATGTGAACCACCTTCACAAAGGTGGTATAAGCAGGGCAAGGTGTTAGCCCAGGTTGGACGAAGTCTTCATTGCAATACGACTAACGTCCAGGACAAGACTTTTCTACATGAAACCATCCCAACATTTTTACCAGAGTTTTGTATGTTTTACCTCGTTATAGAAGCTTATTTCACGCCTACATACTCTATGTATCCTTATCTATTGGCCACTTGGTTCAGGAATTCCATATGCGATGCTGACTGACGTTAATCAGGAAAATAAACTCCAAAGCAACGTTAAACTTGTTCGTGTTTGTAGTCTCTTTTCATCAGTTTATTCACAGGTCGTACGTCATGTACAATGTACATGATATGTACAAATGTACGTGCGTACGATCCGAAAGCGCGCACGCACGCTAGCGCCCTCATTTGTTTAGTTTTGGTTGAACCGTGACGTCACTCCAGCCAACCGATGTCACGAAAACGCTCAACCAATGACCAAAGCCGAAGTGTGTTTCTGTAACTGGCGCGAAAACACACTCGGTCATTGGATTAGCGACCGCGCCTTCAAGTAAGTGCGCGTGGAGCTAGAACTTTCCCAACTTTCGCCCAAAACAACGTGGAGAGAGAGAGAGCTAACACGCATGCGCGGTTGGCCACACCAAAATACTTCAATGTTACTGTACACGATTGACTCTCAGAAAGTGACTATAATACATAACCACAATACAATCATGTATCGATATTATTACTAATATAATCATAAATGAGGTTTCATAAATCACATACCCCTACATGTACAACGTGTACAATGTAAATGTACATATATGGAGTTGTTGCAGAAAATCAAATCATAAAGTTGCTTCCATCACCACTCATGGACAATAGAGAAAGATACAATTTCTGTGAAGCCATTCCAGAAGCAAATTAAGTCAAAAATGAGATGGCAGAAAATACCGGTACTATTGGGCACTTTCATACAATTTACATGTGTAAGACATGTGAGGTGCAATTTTTTGACAAATCAAGTTAACACTACTTCAGTTTGGATGTTTATAAATTAATTTTTGTGAATACTCTAAATCATTATAATTTGATTTCAAACATTGAAATTAGAGTTCAATTTAAAGCAACACCTAAAACATTTGTTTAAAGCATAATGATTCTGAAGCCATCAGTTCTACCGGAAGATGTCACAGTTTTAACTGAAATGTACATGTAGGCTGGTCGCCCCCCCCCCCCCCCCACCCTTTAGGTAAACCACTGAACCTACCGGTATTATAATTAAAAGTTGTTGGTGAACATGTAACCAATATACTAAAGTGTTCAAATACTGTGTATTTAAACTTTTAAGGATTGAGGTGATGGGTTTGAAGTCTATTTCTGTAGTAGTCTTGTGCTCGTGAATTATGTGTTTTTGGTTGTTTTCGTTTTTCATTTATTAACATTAATTAGCAGGCACCTATCTTTATCTCAATAGTTTCTTGAGTACAATTATTGATGCCAGGTCTGCATATTGTTGATTTCACATTCAGTTACACATTTCAGCAATTTGTTTCACTTGTATAATTAGTGTGAATTAACATTTTGTTCATGCCATAATTGAGTAAACCTTTTGTCCTTCCGTTACCGTCCTTCCGTTACCAAATTATAATCCACTTAAGACGTTGTAATTACATTACCGAAACACTTAAATTCAAATGAAAGGTGGTATTTCCTACCTTTAAAATAAAATTGCCCCATAAAATTCACAGAGTTTACGCAAAACACATGCAAGTTGGAAAACCCTTGTCTGTTTTACCGTCCTTTCGTTGCCGACCTCATGAATATTCATAATTCATGAACGAGAGGTATTCATGCCCCCCAAAAGTGTGGAAATTGAAGGTAGCATTATAGCAATACATTATTGTACAATTTGTTTGCTGTCACTAATAACAGTGTCTGTGATACATGAGTGAAAACGTCCTTCCGTTACCGTGGAATTGCCCTCATGTAAATAACTGCAGATGTTGGGACCATGAAGTTTGGGGCGCAAAAGATCAATGTGTGATCAAACGCGCAAAAGATCAATGTGTGTGATACAGCTCCACAGCTTGCCCAATTGACCTTGCGATTTGCATACCACATGCAACACGCTGGCCACGTGCACTCCAGTCATTGGGGGAAAACTTTGACGAAAAAATGATCAGCGGTTTCTGACACCCGGCACTCAACACCTAAAACAGCTGAGCACCAAAACTAGTCACTCAACCAGCGGTCTCACCTAACAACGATCACCTAAACCACAACTGTAACAATCAGTCCCAA